TCTTCGTATGCATCCGAAGAAGTGGGCTGTAGTCCACAAAAGCTTATGCTCTAATAAATTTGTTAGTCTCTAAGGTGCCACAAGTACTCCTGCTCTTCTTTTTGTAATATGTGAGAATTTGCCTGTTTTAGACACTAGAAAGCAGCTTATCTTTTTTTTTTAGTTGTAATCAGTTGTAGTTCTACTATCCTTGCTTAATATCACTTAAATCTCTGTCCTCTATTAATAAACTTATTTTTAGTTTTTACCATAAAATCATCTCAGTCCTGTGTATTAAATTGTGGGTCTCAGATAAACTAACAGGCTTTCATGTCTCTTTGAAGGAAGCAGACTTGGTAATTCTGGTGACTGTCCAGTGACTGCGGATGGATACTGCAGAGAGAAGCCACTGGGCAGCTCGGGAACTAGGGTTTACTGAATGTCAAGATTGGCAGAGTCTCAAGAAGTTTGCTGATAAGGTGAACAGCTGGGGGGTAGCAAAGAGCTAACAGATCCACCAAAGGTGTCTTGCTGAGGCAGAAAGGTAACAGTAGCTTTTGGTTCTGGGCTCTGCAAGGATTGTTTCACAGTATATGAAAGACCTGACAAGATCAACTAACGACAGCTCCAATAAATCAAGGTGAGCACACACCTAAAATGTACACTATTCACATTTAACAGCACTAAAACACTGTTGCTGGCACCACATGAAAGAAGTCTGAGCAGGAGCAGCAGAGACATACTACTCCTCTGATGGACTTTCCTGCAAGGGTATTTCAAGAATTGGAGGGAGGAAAGGATGCTAAAAAAAGGACTAAACAGTGACTTTGATGGGAAAAGTAAAGACTTTGCCATGCAAAAGTATAATCACCTAAACTTATGTCTCTAGAGAGGGCATTGCACCTGGTGCTATAAGCAGATGTCACCACCAATGGCATACAAGTGAGGAGGAAAACAATATGTCATCAAAAAATGTATTAAAGATTTTTTCAAGAGACCTCATTTCAAATCAATACGCTCTATCAACACCAAGTGCAAACACAGAATAAGTTTTAGCTACAATGTGCAATTAAGGGCAAATCCACTGTGAATATATACAAGACTTGACAGTGTAACAACCATTTTATCCTGACCTATGTCACTGGCCATAATGAGTTCATCTTGGCAATATTAAAAACCATCTGGTTTACAATCAAACTAGTTAAGTATATTCTTCCCGTCTGACATTATACAAGTTGTCTAAGTCTAGTATAAGATTACATCACAACAGCCAATTTTTTCCAGTGTAAAAAACAATGGGCAATATTGATCTTAGCATCTACCAGAAGTCAGATGCAGATCAGATACATTTTTATTACTACATAAAAACTCCTGTAAGGATTGAGTATTTCCACTTAAGTAAGACTTCTATGACTGCACATAGGCCAAGATCAGTTCAGTTACACCTGTGCAAACTTCTGAAATCTTAAGTAACTCTTCTCTCCTATTTACCAAAATTTTAGTAGCATTGGGACTTTTAATCCTGGTTTATAGCATTCACTAAATCAACTGGACTACTTATATGCTTAAACTTAAGCATGTGCTTAGGCACCTTGCTGAATCATGGTCCAGGCAGCTTATCATATTCTGATGATTTCCTACATTTGTTTTTAAAACGTTTTCTAATAAACCCACATCCCTATTGGACTCACTTACATAAATTCTTAGAAACTGATGCCAATTATTGGTTATTTTGAGATAAGATTTTTTTCACTAAGATGAGCTTTAAGAGCTATACAATTCTTCCAACTTCTTTTTTCTGATTAGTTTGTTTTAACTAAGACCACATGCAGCTCTTCTCGAATAGTCAATTCAATAACATTTCATGCATGGGAAATTAAGTTCAGCTTTTCTTGGCCTTTTACTTGGTGTGTTATTTTCTTTCACTTTACTTCCTAGCAGCTATTTGCAGGAGAGATTTGCTTATGAAAGTTTTGCTGACCTGTTATTCTCCCTTTGTGTTTCCACCAATCTATCCTCAACAAAAGGAAATCTTACAAGGTAGTGTTAATATCCTATGTGAACCTGCTATCCTTCAGCATAGAGTCATTAATCTCCACGAATTAATTTTTTTTTATTACAAGGGACTTGAATGAAATCACATTTGTCTGAAAAATTCATACCTACAACCGTCACAATATCCAATACTAGTATAACTGAACAGTTAGCCAAACTAACATCCTTTTATGTTTATTTTCTCTGGGTTTTTGGTGACACTTTGCATACGGTCAGTTTCACCATTTCCCATTGGTCAGTATCTCCCTGGAGGAAGAGCCCCTTACAAGCACTAACAACAAAGAAGAAAATAATTCTTACCCAGTAAAAGTTTTAAAAGAAAAAGAAAAAAATCAGGCCATTCCAGTTAGTGGATAGTCTATCAGAAAAATGGTTTGTTAAGCTAATTTAAAAAAAAAAATCCGAAAAATTTCAGGCTGAGAATGTTCATTCACTTTTATCATCAAATAGTCACAGAAAGCCAACATACCAACTCCTCATTTTACCAGCATCTGCACTAATGATCCATACCATCAATTTTGTATTGTATAGATATAAGACAATCCAATATCAAAACTGCTGCTCCTATTAGATACACTGGCAATGATCAAATTGTGTAAAGGTACAAGTCCGGTTAACATTTGGCACTAGAGCAAACCAATGCCAAGATGTAACCTTCTATTTTAGGCCTTTTATTTTATTTTATGCACACTTATAACCTCAACTGTGACTGGGTCAAGTTATGAAACAGTCTCTTGTCAAATTTTAAAGTATCCATTTGAGCTGTAAACGCTCAAAATGTTCAACATTTATAATTTGAAGGGGGGGGGGAAATCAAATATTCTGCACAAATCTTCAACTCAGAAGTTCTGAAAACTAGAGATTTTAAAGGGACAACATGAATTTAAAATCTAGCCACTTAAAAAAGATAAATTAAAAGGAATTTCAGGTACCACAGACACTTCATGAAGTTCCCTTCTAATCTCCAGTTTTGCCATCATAGTCTGTTGTTATTGGGAGATCCAGGCAACTGAGAAAGCTGGCTATACATTAAACTGTCTAAAGCCATGTTGCCAACCCACGATGTAAACAAACAAAAACCCAGAGAAATAGTTCTCTAATCTCTTTCAGTTGACAGTCATATCCTCACATGTATCACAAACAACTGTGAACAAAAACACTGCAGCAGGAATGCTACTTGAACGGTGAGATGTCATAAGAACGGCCGTACAGGGTCAGACCAAAGGTCCCTCTAGCCCAGTATCCTGTCTACTGACAGTGGCCAATGCCAGGTGCCCCAGAGGGAGAGAACCTAACAGGTAATGATCAAGTGATCTCTCTCCTGCCATCCATCTCCACCCTCTGACAAACAGAGGCTAGGGACACCATTCCTTACCCATCCTGGCTAATAGCCATTAATGGACTTAACCTCCATGAATTTATCCAGTTCTCTTTTAAATGCTGTTATAGTCCTAGCCTTCACAACCTCCTCAGGCAAGGAGTTCTACAAGTTGACTGTGTGCTGTGTGAAGAAGAACTTCCTTTTATTTGTTTTAAACCTGCTGCCCATTAATTTCATTTGGTGGCCCCTAGTTCTTGTATTATGGGAATAAGTAAATAACTTTTCCTTATCTACTTTCTCCACATCACTCATGATTTTATATCTCTATCCTATTCCCCCCTTAGTCTCCTCTTTTCCAAGCTGAAAAGTCCTAGCCTCTTTAATCTCTCCTCATATGGGACCTGTTCCAAACCCCTAATCATTTTAGTTGCCCTTCTCTGACCCATTTCTAGTGCCAGTATATCTTTTTTGAGATGAGACCACCACATCTGTATGCAGTATTCAAGATGTGGGCGTAACATCGATTTATATAAGGGCAATAATATATTCTCCATCCCCTTTTTAATGATTCCTAACATCCTGTTTGCTTTTTTGACCGCCTCTGCATACTACGTGCACATCTTCAGAGAACTATCCACGATGACTCCAAGATCTTTTTCCTGATTTGTTGTAGCTAAATTAGCCCCATCATATTGTATGTATAGTTGAGTTATTTTTTCTAAATGTGAATTACTTTACATTTACCCGAATTAAATTTTATTTGCCATTTTGTTGCCCAATCACTTAGTTTTGTGAGATCTTTTTGAAGTTCTTCACAGTCTGCTCTGGTCTTAACTAGCTTAAGCAGCTTAGTATCAGCTGCAAACTTTGCCACCTCACTGTTTACCTCTTTCTCCAGATCATTTATGAATAAGTTGAATAGGATTGGTCCTAGGACAGACCCTTGGGGAATACCACTAGTTACCCCTCTCCATTCTGAGAATTTACCATTTAGTCCTACCCTTTGTTCCCTGTCAGTGGCGGTGGTGCTGACACGCTCGATACCGAGCGGCCAGGCACAGGAAGGGCCCCAGCTGAAGTTCGTTTTCATTATGACCGCTATTCTAGGCCCAGGCAACGGCACCCAGGACCTACCTGCCCTTCAGCCGCTCCGAGACCCCAGCGCAGGAAAGTTGCAGCGGGGATGGAGGAACCGAGTGGGTCACCCTGCAAGGTGGGGAGACGGTTAGTAGGGCGGACCCGCTCCTTCCCAGCGGCAAACCCGGCGGGCGGGCTCCGCGCCAAGCACCGCTGGCAGGGAAGCGTCGGGCGGCCGTTGCCCGTGAACGCGCAGCGTCTCCTTGGAGAAACGATCAACATACCCTCCCCCAACACCACCTCCACGCGGCGGGAGCGACCGGCGCAGCTGGCCGGGCACGTTGGGGTGAGGAACCGCTGCACAGAACCGGCGGCCCCCTCCCCTCCGGGAGAGGGCGAGCCGTCGGCAGCCGCTTTATCTGCCACGATACTGGCCGGGCAAGGCGAGTGCTACGCTGCTCTCCCCCACCGACGAGGGCCCGGCCGAGTGGGCTGTGAAGACCAAGGGCTCCACACAGGCCCGCCCCAGCTCTCCCTTCCGCGGCGCCTCAGAGGCCGCGAGCCAGGCC